CAAATTAGTCATGTAAAAACTTATCTAGCTAATTAATATTTCCAATTCAAAATTTAACTTAAACAACAGCTGCAAATCCCCAAAATTTCCAGAATTTCTGTACAGCTAGCTTCGGACAAACATGCCTGCAACAGATTGCATTCTTATTTTATTTTTTTTTCTGGTTTAAACTAACTAATTAGCTGTATGCAGAGCCTAATTAACTTGTTATCAACCATCTAATCATGGTTATAAGTTTAAACAACAACATTAAACCAAATCAGGCTGCAAAAATTCAAGCTAAGCTCTCGGCCAAATCAGAAACTCTTCCAGCATTTGTTTAGTCACAAATCAATTTTTTTTCTACGGTTAAATCCTGTATTTTGCACTTAAATTTCACATGCACAACTACTGAATTAACTAGCTATCATATCCAGACCAGAAATCAGTTCGACAGCAATAAAATTGAACCAAATGAAGCTGCAATAATTAAGCTAAGCTCTCGGCAGAAATTTTCTTAACCCAAACCAGAAATTTCCTCTGCTTTAACACATCATCCGAATGTACAATACAACATGCATGGTCTAAATCTTCAAGTCTTCACTCAGCTAAAGGCACTTAGGTGTTCAGATGCCACAGAAAACGCAAATGGAGTTGCATTAACTCCTCCAAGTCTCGGTAGCAACATTTTAACAAAACAGAATTTTTTTTTTCTATTGGTTGGGTTTCAACATCCGACTGCATAATCTGTACATGCAAGCTCAGATGCAGCTTGCTCAACTAATAATCAACCTAATTAGACCAGAAATTACCTCAGTTAGCAGCTAATCCTTCACACGGAATATTCCTGAAATTTCTTCCCTAGCTCTCGGCCAAGTGCAGTCGGTGGTTCCTAGCTCCTAAGTTGCGGCTGTAATTTGTTGTAGCTGTTGTATTTTGAGGTCGGTTGGTTGGAGATGAAGGTACAGAATGGTGAAGCTTCCTGCAAATCTCCTCCCTGGCTTCGCTCCAACTCACGGCAGAACCAGAAAAATTTCTGGCAGCTCACGTTCGCTCCTCCTACCTCTCGGATGCAGCTCACCAGGCAGCTCTCTCTCTCGGATGCTCTTGGTCGAATGCAGAGGAAGAGGTGAGGTGCGGTTGTGGAGAGGGATTGCAGTAGTTTCGGTGTAATTGGGCAAAAGAAATGAGATGATGAAGAGAATGGTATCTCGGTATTAAGAAGGAAGCGGTTTGTGGTTTACTTGTGCAGAGAAGAAAGGAAGTTGCGGTTTGTATTTGTGATATGAAATGTGAATTAGAATGAATGGTTTTGTGGTTTTAGCCGTGAGATAGAAAGGATGGTTTGGTGGTGCCGTTGTTTAGGGAATAGAGGTTTCGTGTAAGAATCGATTGCATATAACATTGGTTGCGTATCGAATTGGTAATAACAAAGGTGATTTGATTTGCGGTCAGACGTCTTGTTTGGTTTGCATGGAAAGGTAAGGGTATTTTAGTCTTTTCACTTTGCTCCCTAATCTCAACTTAATTTCTCAATTCCAAATTAATTCTAAAAATTATTCCCAAGTGTGATTTGAACGCCTAGTTATACCCTAATATACCTAAACCATTTTTATCGAATAATTATCGATTAAACTTGAATATTAAGGTTCCTAGTAATTCTTATATTAATTAGCGATTAAATTAGTTATTAGAATTTTCAATTATTATTTCTCAAGAAATAGAGTTAGTCTAACTCGAAATTTATCGATTTAGTAATATAAAGTCAAATGAAATAATAATTTAATCCAAGGGTGTCAATTTGCACATATAAAAATTATTTTTACGCACTTACTTGAAAAACAAAGAAAGATAAGGATATATTTATCGAATTTTCACGCCTTAAGCATGTTTAATATATTAGAATCATATTTATCTAAAATTCATTGATTTTTATCTTAACACGGAAATTCTTATTAACATTTAACATTAGCAACTAATTGAAATTAATCATAGGGATTTAAATAATTTATTTTGAGATCGTAATTCTATTTACTCAAGTATCATTACTTTAGGATTAAGGACTTAAGTATTCTTACATTTAATATTAAGGCGAAAAATTAATCTAACCCTAAAGATTTTAATTTAGTTAGATATAACCAAGAAATTTTCATAAATTGGAAAATTATATTATTTTTCACGTAAACCTATTTTTTTTTCATACTTAATTGCAAACAAGTAAAAGTAATGCTCGAAATTATTAAGGAATAAAAGAAATGCAAATAAAATATGCACTAGTTTATATATCCATTTTTCAGGGTTCTCACATCCTCCCCTCCTTACAAGAATTTTGTCCTCAAAATTCACACTTTCCTAAGGAAATAAATCAGGGTACTTTTTCTGCATTTCCTCTTCTAATTCCCAAGTTGCTTCCTCAAGTCCATGATTTCTCCATAAAATCTTCACCAGGGAAATTTTCTTATTTCTCAGTTCCTTCACTTCTCTTTCCAAAATCTTGACTGGTCCTTCTTCATACGTTAACGTCTCATCCACTTCAATTCCCTCCAGTGGCAGCACATGACTTGGGTCGGAATAATATTTCTTAAGCATGGAAACGTGAAATACATCGTGAACCTTAGCCATGCTTGCAGGTAACTTCAGCTGATATGCTACTTTCCCAACTCGCTTCAAAATTTCGAAAGGTCCGATATACCTTGGTTTTAGCTTCTTAGGTACTACTCCGCCCTTCAAGGGTTTAATTCTTAGGAAGACCTTGTCTCCTACTTCGAATTCCAAATCTTTCCTCCTTGTGTCGGCGTAGCTTTTCTGTCTACTCTGAGCGGTTTGAAGCCTTTCCCTAATAAGTTTCACCTTCTCCTGGGCCTCTTCTATCCAAGGTATCGTTGTTGGATCTACAATCTTCTTCTCTCCTATTTCATCCCAATGAATCGGAGATCGACACCTTCTCCCATACAAAGCTTCATAAGGTGCCATTTGAATTGAGGCTTGATAACTGTTGTTATACGCAAATTCTACTAGGGTCATATAATTACTCCATTTACCTCCAAAATCCAATATACATGACCTCAGCAGATCCTCCAAAGTTTGAATTGTTCTTTCCGACTGCCCGTCGGTTTGGGGATGGTACGCAGTACTAAATTTCAATTTGGTCCCCAAAGACTCCTGAAATTTCTGCCAAAAACGTGAGACAAACCTTGGGTCTCGATCGGACACGATACTTACTGGAATACCATGTAACCTTAGGATCTCTTCTGTGTACAACTTGACCAGTCTTTCCAAAGAAAAGCTCATGCTTACTGGTAGGAAATGTGCAGACTTAGTGAGTCGGTCAACTATTACCCAAATTGCATCAAATCCTTTTTGGCTTCTAGGTAGTCCCATTACAAAATTCATTGTTATATGCTCCCATTTCCATTCAGGGATTTCTAACGATTGCAACAAACCAGAGGGCTTCTGATGCTCAGCTTTTACTTGTTGGCAGATCAAACATCTCTGAACAAACTCTGCCACGTCCTTTTTCAAACCTTCCCACCAGTATAATCCCTTCACATCATGATACATCTTGCTCACACCTGGATGTATAGTATACTTCGATCGATGTGATTCTTCTAAAATTTCTTTTCTTATCTCTTCATTTGCCGGAACCACAATTCGATCTCGGAATCTCAATACACCTTCAGACCCCAATTTAAAATCTAGGTTTCTTCTTTTTGCACTTTCTCCAAATTCTTCTGAATCATAGGGTCTGTTTTCTGGGCCTCCTTAATACGCTCTAGCAATGATGATTTTAACGATAAGCTCCCAAGTAATATCTTCAGTTTCTCCATACGAGGGTTCCAACCACTTATTTCTTCTAACATGTCCCACTCCTTAACCATTAACCCTGCTACTTGGGCCTTTCTACTTAGAGTGTCAGCTACCACATTAGCTTTTCCTGGGTGGTAATTAATAGAACAGTCATAATCTTCCAGAAATTCTACCCATCGCCTTTGTTTCAAATTTAATTCCTTTTGGGAGAATAAATACTTAAGGCTCTTATGGTCTGTATAAATCTCAAAAGTCACGCCATACAAGTAGTGTCTCCATTTCTTCAAGGCGAAAATCACTGCTGCTAACTCTAAGTCATGAGTTGGGTAGTTTTGTTTGTGAGGCTTCAGTCTCCTGGAAGCGTAGGCAATCACTTTACCATTTTGCATTAAAACACACCCTAGACCTTCTCCAGAAGCATCGGAGTACACGGCATAACCTTCACCTCCGTCAGGCAACACCAAAACAGGAGCGGATGTTAACCGCTTCTTTAATTCCTGAAAACTTGACTCGCACTTCGGAGTCCAAATGAACCTATTCCCTTTCTTGGTTAGCTCGGTCATGGGTCCAGCAATCTTCGAAAAATCCTTGATAAATCGCCTATAATAACCTGCTAATCCCAAGAAACTTCTAATTTCAGTTGGAGTTTTTGGCTGCTTCCAATTCATAACGGCCTCAACTTTTGCCGGATCCACGGCAATTCCATCTTTGGAAACCTTGTGCCCTAGAAAAGATATTTCATCCAGCCAAAACTCGCACTTGCTAAATTTGGCATACAATTTATGCTCTCTTAGAATTTGCAAGACTATCTCCAAGTGCTTAACATGTTCCTCTCGAGTCTTAGAGTATATCAAGATATCATCGATGAAAACCACTACAAACTGATCCAGATACTTCTTAAAGACTCTCTGCATTAAATCCATGAATGCCGCTGGTGCATTAGTTAAACCAAAAGGCATGACTGCGAACTCAAAATGTCCATATCTCGTACTAAAAACAGTCTTGGGTATATCCTCCTTTTTAATCTTCAATTGGTAATACCCTTGCCTCAAGTCCAGCTTAGAGAAAACTACTGACCCTTGCAGTTGGTCGAACAGACTATCTATCAACGGTAGAGGGTATTTATTCTTAATGGTAATCTCATTTAACCCTCGGTAATCGATACATAATCTCAAGCTTCCGTCCTTTTTCTTAACAAATAGAACGGGTGCTCCCTACGGTGAATCACTTTCCTTCACAAAACCTTTTTCCAAGAGGTCTTGCAATTGAATTTTTAACTCCTTTAGCTCGGCAGGAGCCATTCGGTATGGAGTTTTAGAAATTGGAGCCGTTCCAGGCACCAAGTCAATCCTAAATTCCACTTCTCTTTCCGGCGGTAGAGTCTTAAGCTCTTCCGGAAAAACATCCGGAAATTCTTGTACCACTGGTACATCTTCCAACTTCGCTCGATCACTGGGAGCATTAATCATGAAAGCTAAGAAACCTTGAGCTCCTTTTGACAACATTTTCCTTGCCCGTATCCCTGAAATCATAGCAGATGAGGCTAACCTACCCTTAACATCTAACCTCAGGGTTGCTTCTCCAGATATACAGAATTCCACCACTTTCGCTCGGCAATCAAGCTTAGCATGATACTGGCCTAGGAAATCCATTCCTATGATAACATCGTACCCCTTTATGTCCAGACTGATTAGATCCACTAGCATTTTACGCTTTCCAATCCAGAATTCGCAATTCTTATAGGCTAAGCTAGCGATTATCTTCTTATTACCCATTGGTGTCCTAACCTCAAGATCGAAGGGTAATCTAACAGGTTTCACATCTATTCCAGACATAAATGATGGATTTACGAATGAATGAGTTGCACCAGGGTCAATTAACACTTTAGCTAATCGATGAAAAATGGGGAGAGTACCTTCCACGACCTCCGAGGAATCAGGTACAGGTTGGTCATCTATAGCATACACCCTGGCAGGAACTGTTGGCCGGCTCCCTCCAGAAGTGTTTGGTCTAGCGTTTGGATTACTCCCTTCCTGCATTTTTGGACATCCAGCAATTTGGTGCTCGCTACTTCCGCATCTCAAGCACTTCCCTTGCTTCTTCCAGCAACCATCTATAGTATGGCAAGGTTTCTTACAAAATGCACAATTCATTTGGGGAACTATTGCTCGACCTCCTTGCGAGGTATTCCTAGGTTGTCCCCTTCCAATCGGTCCCATTCTGGTTCCATTATTCTGTCCTCCTGCATTCCTGGCCCCATTTCCTCTTGCTTGGCCGCCTCGTGGTGCCCCAGGACTATTCACTCCAATGGTTCCTCGGCCCATTTTAGTCGGTGGAGCATTCCCATATGTCGGCTCCCGACTACTGTTAGGAGCAAATCTTTTCTTAGCCTGAAAAGATTTCACTTGAGCCCTAGCTACTTCAACTCTCTGGGCTTTCTCGACGGCATCTGCAAAAGTATCTATCCTCACAGCAGCTAAACCTTCCTGTATTTCTACATTCAGACCCTGCACAAACCTTCTGACTCGCCTTTGCTCCGTGGTTACCAATTCAGGAGCAAAACGGGATAGCTTTGTGAACTGGACTTCATATTCGGCGACGCTCATCGCCCCTTGCTTACATTTTATGAAGTCATCCTCCCTCTTTTCTTGGATGAGAGATGGAAGAAATTTGGCATTGAACTCCCTTGTGAAGTTTGCCCAAGTCCTTGGAGTATGATTCCTGTCCCAATTAGTCCTTACCAGATTCCACCAGGAGCGAGCAGCTCCCTCAAACTGGAATGCGGCAAAAGTTACCTGCCGCTCTTCCGTGTAGTTTAAAGCTGCGAAGATGTCGGAGATTCTCTCCCACCATCCCTCAGCTATCTCAGGTTCGGGTCCTCCGTAGAACTTATGAGGTCCAAACTTCAGAAACCTTTCCAGTGCCCGATCCTCAGAATCGGCTGGGCCTCCTTGGCGGTGCACTGGCCCAGAGGCTTGATGCTCCGTCAAGCGCTCCAAGACATCAGTGATACGGTTAATTGCGGTGGCCACCTGATCTCCGGCCACTCCCTCTTGCCCTTGGTCTTGATTGACCTCGGGTTCCCTATCTCCACCCGCTTCCGGGTGTTGTCTAGGGGGTCTCCCACGGCTCCTTCCTATCATTTGGCGATCCATTGCCTAATTATGCCTATTACTGAAGGGTAAGACAATTAGGCAAAATTTTATTTATATTTAATTATTATGATTCGCTATGTGATTAAAAACCAACATGAAAATAGAGGAAAAGAAAATGAAACACTTAACATATATTTCCGTGGAACAGTCATACAATTAGCAAGTTGGAACATTTCCCAAAAGTAAGGCACATACGTTAGCAAAAATACATACAGATAATCCCTTAAACAAAATTTTAGGGATATGGTGCCTCGGAGGTAAGTCATTCACCTAGACAAAATTTGATGACTTAACTAATGTCCCTTTCTGATCCTACATATCCGATACTATCAAGTCAACCTAATCTAACCCTCAGCAGGGCTATCAGGAGCGACGTCCTCCGCCGGATCCTTCTCCGGGTCCTCCTTTGGTTCCTCCTCCGGATCCTCCTCTGGATCCTCCTCCGGATCTGCCTGTTCGTTACCCTGAAGGTAACTAGTGGCCTCATCCATAAGCATAGAAGCATCAGCCCTGATGCCAGCACTCCTATCTCTGATCCCCTCAGTAAGTCGGGTCACTCTAGACCTCTGTCGCTCTATCTCCAACCGAGCAACCTCTAGCATATTATGCTCAGCAGTTAGCCTAATCTCCAAATCTGCTATGCGGTCGAATTGGGTATCCACCATGATACTCAGCTCCTCCACATCCTGGGTCAAGGTGTGGTTAGCGTCCCACAAGTAGCGGCGCTCATCATCTAGGGATAACACCAAGTCGTTGGGATAGGCATATGTGACTCTACACTGGCATCTAGGTTGCCTATCAACAGGCGAGTATCGAACTCGACCTCCTCCACCTCGAGGCCTATAGGAAATGGATCTCAGCGGCTCTACATGTCCATTAGCCGCGCCATTACCATTAACATGTCCATTACCATTCTCCATACTTGCAAAATAATCAATACTTAAAGGTTAGAACTTAAATAGCTAACTGGATCAGATACCACTTAAGGTATTTCTAATGGTCTCAATTTTTATTCTTAGAGAGGATTAGGGTTTTTACATATTTAATATGTCCTTCAAATAACTTTTCTAACCTAGGCTCTGATACCACCTGTGGCGACCCCACTTCCCCCTAAGACGAACCAAAGGGTTGGCGGGCCGTCTGCCCAACTCTCGCCAGGACTCACGCAAGCATACTAACCAAATCTTTCGAATAATAACCTAATCTATTACAAAATAAATTTTCTCGAATAAGATCTTCCTTAAATCCACACTAGCTTCAAAGATAACAGTGATATAAATAGCCAATCGAGGCTCTTAAACGTCCCACGTACTACGTACCAAAGTATAAAGTCGTACCAAACCGGGTAGATAAACACATAAGTCCATAATACAAACTTACAAGCCAAGCAATCGAAAAGAAAAGTACATTATCCCCAAATAACGCATTACAGCCCACAAAATAAGTCATAGTATTCAAATACAATCCAAAAGGAAAACATAAGTAAATATCCAGCTTTCAGTTTCCAGAACCTGTTAAGGAAAACAATAAACGTGGGGTGAGCTAAAACTCAGTGGTGCCCCAAAACATGCAATCACTTAAATCAAACAACGGATAAGGACTTAACAAATTTAAACAGTTAGGAAAGCGTATAACAGAACAAGGTAGGATACATGGGCTCTCAGGAGCCATTTTCCTCGCTTGATCACCCTTTATCGTAGTTGACCCTCCGTCAACTCTCACTACTTATAATCCATGTAGAGTTTCTCATTTTGTTACCCAACCCGTCACCATTCATTCCCCTGTCCCGGGCCCGCTCACCGACTAAAGACGCAGTATACTCGAGATATACCCGTAGATGATTGGTCGAGGGATTCACCCAACGACTTTATTGTAGTTAGATTCAGGCGTCGAGGGATTCACCCAACGACGTAACTACGTTTAGATACAAGGTAGTTGGATTCAGGAGTCGAGGGATTCACCCAACGACGCAACTACATTTAGACTCAAGGATTCAGGAGAAAAATGTTTTTGCACAAGTCACCACTCGAACGGCTAGTGCGATAAAGTACACACAGCTCACTTCGATGGATCAAAAACCAGTTTTGCAAATTATCACTTATCGAGTCTAGAAAGCACTTAATTCAGGTAGGAAAGGAACAAGCAGGGACACTCACCAAGAGTGGAGTTCAGATATCAAGTTGGGAATCGAATTCCGCGTCCTCGAAATATCCTAAAAACCAAAATTTGAAAGTATGAGTTTCTACTCAGTTTTTAAGCTTATAGTCATTGAAGTATATCTAATATACTATTAATTTACTTTCCCATAGAAAAATCAAGAATCTTTTAGATTGAAACTTGACAAAAGTAGAAGAGATGTTTCTTATAGTTTTCCTTGAGTTACTTTTCTTATAAAAGGGTAACTAGTATTATTTTCTTGAAATAATTCGACAAACCTCTTAATATCAATGTTAGAAAGTTACTTTGAACATTTCTTTAAAGTTACGGCCTTTGCAAAAATTATCCCTAAAACTATTTTTTTCTAAAATAGGGTTTCTTGCCGAGCAAGTTTCCCAGGTTTTTTTTTTCGCTAAATTAATAAAACTCGTATTTCGGAACTTTTCCTATAGTTAACTATCCAATTACAAAGCTTAAAGAAAGAAAAGGAATTAAAATACGACTTATAGTTTCCAAAAGCTATAGAACTTATTTACTATAGCTATCAAGGCTAGTTTGAGCTAAAGGAAATTATCGAGTTGGAAAATCTTAGGCAAAACACTAGATATGGAGTTTTATAATATAATACTAGCTGGAAAAATATTTTTGATTGATTTGATCACAGTCACTCGATTTCTCAAGGTCGATACAACTTCCACCGCTCCGATTCCGTTTCGAAGTCATAATATGGATCAAAATATGGCAACAATCACATAGCAAATTACTAGGGCTTCGTCAATCATTAGCCCTAGATTTCAACAAGTGCATCTCTGAATAAAATAAAATAGTCAACCAAGGCTTCATCAATCATTAGCACTTGGTTTCAGCAAGCCCATCATAAACAATTAAAAATAAAAGTAAAGCCTCCAAGACATTCCAGCAATTAACTTCCATCACCCTGTATTACTTATAAAATCATTCAAATGGCCAAGGGCTTCATCAATCATTAGCCCCTGACAACATCAATTACTTCTAACCACAATTTAATCAAGAATTTAAACCACAAGTAAGCTACAAGTTCAATCCAAAACCCAATTTCAGTTTCACAAAGAAACAGGACATTCCTACCAAAACAGTCTACTTCAAGGATTTACAGACAGCAGTATACATAGAGGAAAAATACGAAATTTCTACAGGACAAAGGCCTATGTTTCTAGTTTCAAATGCCACTGACGGCGCCTTAAACGGATTTTTCTACACCAAGATATAAGCATTTTACTGAAACTGGTCAGAGACATCCGAAAATCTGAAATTTCATCTTTCACTTGTGAAAAACTCCTTTTTCTCTTTTAATACCAAAATGTTTTTATTCAACCATCCATACATTTCTTATAGAACTCCAAAACACAAATTCCAGATATTTCCATCCATCAAGATTCAGGGAAAAAATTTAAAAATCAAGTTAAGATCCCAACTCAACCTTTAATTATCACATAAGAAATTCCAGCAACTAATATACTTTAGGTCCAGTTTTCCCTTGGTTTAAACAGGGTGTTAGGTATTCAAATTCAGCATTTAAACACTTAGCTAGCTATTAAAAATTTCCACTTCAAAACCAATTTCATTCAGTGACTAAAATCATCCAGAAAATCCAGAAATAGTTTAAAATCCAAAAGAAAACAAACTGGAAATTTCCGATCAAACCTCTCGGCTATTCCAGAATTTTCCAACCCTTGGTGTTTATAAATCCAATTTTCCTCGGCTAAAACATGGTTTTAGATACCCAAATTAGTCATGTAAAAACTTATCTAGCTAATTAATATTTCCAATTCAAAATTTAACTTAAACAACAGCTGCAAATCCCCAAAATTTCCAGAATTTCTGTACAGCTAGCTTCGGACAAACATGCCTGCAACAGATTGCATTCTTATTTTATTTTTTTTTCTGGTTTAAACTAACTAATTAGCTGTATGCAGAGCCTAATTAACTTGTTATCAACCATCTAATCATGGTTATAAGTTTAAACAACAACATTAAACCAAATCAGGCTGCAAAAATTCAAGCTAAGCTCTCGGCCAAATCAGAAACTCTTCCAGCATTTGTTTAGTCACAAATCAATTTTTTTCTACGGTTAAATCCTGTATTTTGCACTTAAATTTCACATGCACAACTACTGAATTAACTAGCTATCATATCCAGACCAGAAATCAGTTCGACAGCAATAAAATTGAACCAAATGAAGCTGCAATAATTAAGCTAAGCTCTCGGCAGAAATTTTCTTAACCCAAACCAGAAATTTCCTCTGCTTTAACACATCATCCGAATGTACAATACAACATGCATGGTCTAAATCTTCAAGTCTTCACTCAGCTAAAGGCACTTAGGTGTTCAGATGCCACAGAAAACGCAAATGGAGTTGCATTAACTCCTCCAAGTCTCGGTAGCAACATTTTAACAAAACAGAATTTTTTTTTTCTATTGGTTGGGTTTCAACATCCGACTGCATAATCTGTACATGCAAGCTCAGATGCAGCTTGCTCAACTAATAATCAACCTAATTAGACCAGAAATTACCTCAGTTAGCAGCTAATCCTTCACACGAAATATTCCTGAAATTTCTTCCCTAGCTCTCGGCCAAGTGCAGTCGGTGGTTCCTAGCTCCTAAGTTGCGGCTGTAATTTGTTGTAGCTGTTGTAGTTTGAGGTCGGTTGGTTGGAGATGAAGGTACAGAATGGTGAAGCTTCCTGCAAATCTCCTCCCTGGCTTCGCTCCAACTCACGGCAGAACCAGAAAAATTTCTGGCAGCTCACGTTCGCTCCTCCTACCTCTCGGATGCAGCTCACCAGGCAGCTCTCTCTCTCGGA